TCTTGACTAAGTAAACAATGGCATCAAATACTAATGTTAGGTTTACAAAATTACCTACTTTTATAAGATTTTTCAAGGCTCTCGAAGACAAGTTCTGTATTTATTTTTCTTTTGGAAGAGATACCAGTATGTAAACAAGTATCTGTCAAATACATTTACGTATTGTGATTAATGTGAGAGAGATTTTCTTTACAACTTCGCCTATTAACTTTGTTTTTTTCTAATTGTCTTGACTGCCAATTTTAATGATCTAGCCAACTCTTTGGATTCTGTATTTAGTTTTATTACTATTTAAAAGTGTATCATAACCTATAAAAGAGTTTAAACATTGTCTTCTATTTAAAAATCTGTATTTTGTCTATGGCAATAAATAATACAAACAGTGTAATTTTCTACATACATAGTGTACTCAGTAAGTATATGTGGATGTTGGTTTGGGTTTTTTGATTTTTTTTTTTAAAGATACCAATTGTAGCTACGATCAAACAAACAATAGATCCCTGCATCCTACCAAGCACTAAGAACAGTGGAACACCGAACAATCCTTTGCTTCTAGAGTAATCTCAACATTTAATGATCATAAAGGGAATAAAAGCTTTGACTCAGCAATGGTCTGATTCTTACATCAAATAGGGTCAGCATCCAGTTTAAGGAAACATAATCATTCAAAGAATGTCTCCAAAGCTGAACCTCTGGTGTGACGCAAATTAACTCCTGTTCATTAGTTTGAAAAGATGTAATAAAATTTGGGGGCAAAAGAACTAATAGAGTAATATCCAAGTTATTGAAGATAGAAATATTAATCCGTACTACTTTATTTTCAAACGTTGATAAAAATCTATGCAGTGGTTCCAACTACATCACTGAGATTAAGTAATACTTTAACGCTATAAATATTCATTGCTGCTAGGGAAAAATGTCCCATTTTAGCAGTAGGAAGAAAGGATGCTGAATTGGAAATAGAGTGACTTTGAGACCTAGGCAGTTTCTTCTTGCTGATGAAGGGCCTATTCTGAAAATATTTTCAAATTTCTGTTTGTAAGCAAGAGACCCATGGTGCTAAGCTTCCTGTATTAGTAACTGGTAGTTTCCAGGATGACACACCAGACCAAGGCAGAATGGCTACATGACACTTGAGTTTTTTCCAAATGTTCTTACATGGAAAAGAATTAAAGATCAATACTAACCAGAATATCTTCCAATTTCATATCTAGGAGATCTGTGCCTGTAACATATTTCTTCCAGTCTTCCTGATCTTGTCCATCTTCTCCCATATTGTCCAGGATCAGTTCAAAGAAAATTACCTTTTCAGAAATGGTACTGAAAGTGTTGTCAAAGCAGAACATGTAATCTCCATCTTCTGTTTCCACCCTGTGTATATAAGCAAAATGTGATTAAATTAACTATACTTTCTGTTCTGGTTCTCAAAAAGTGAGTTTTTGTAAGCAAAGTTTCACCTTTAAGACTGACAATTATGCATTCAAAATAACCAAATATGCTTTTTGTATAAGAACTCTAAGGACATCTTACAGATTGCACAGTGACAGCAAAACAATCCCACTGGCTCTAAAGGCTCAAAATGATGAAGACAGCATTTTTCTTTTTGGGGATTTTGAATTATTGTTAATCACTACAAAAAACCTATAATGAATGGAATTCTTATACTCTATAGTAAAATTGCAACAATTATTACATATTTTGATAAAAGGATTGGAAAAATATGGGATATTAGCTTCTTATTTATATGACTGACAAGATCTTTTGACATTAGATGTGGGGACCTTTTTCAACTCCACAATAATTATTTTTGTTCACCGACCCTTAACAGCTATCATTAAAACAAAAATATCCTTTGCTTCACGGTACGTTCCATGTAAAAAGCATTCAGTGTTTATAAAAAGGAAGTTGGTATTCTCAAACTGTCCTATTAGAAAGTCTTTTCTAATACTAAGGAATAAAAAGTACTCAATCTTTACTTTAGTTATATGTGTTAAAGAAACCAGAAAAGTACTTCATGTAACACTTCTGAGTTTGAGTATTTTAAACTTACGTATGAACTCCATCTGATTTTCTTTCATCAAAAACTAGAGTTTCACCTTTTGGAGACAGCAGATGAAAATCAACATCTAATCCTGCTCCATCTAGAACCTGTGAAACAAACAAAAAATGAAGCTCCAACCAGTGGAATTCCTGTTTGCATTGCTGATGGCAACGTTTTTAGGTAAGGGAACTGACACAAAGAATGTGAAAGACTAATCTGTCTGTATGAGTTCACACCAAGTTAACTGGAAACAGACTAAAAACTGGTTCAACCCAAAAGCATTTTAGCAGTTTCAAAATCTTAAACTAAATATGATCTAATTTTGCTAGGCTGGGCTTATATTGAACCTTTTCCTAAATACTTTAAAGAATGCATACAGTTTTATCAATGGGCGACCTGTAAAAATACCAACAACAGATGCCTAAATTTGGCCTTTCTATGGCAGACATTACTGATTGGTAAGTACCAGCACTAGTTCAGTGGCAGAAATTTGATAACAAAAGTCACTCCTATGTATATACTTGTACAAGAACACTATGCACTGTCATCCCCAAGATGTCTTTGTTGGGTGAATTAACAGTGTAGAAGACAGGACCAGACTTCTTACGCCAATCAAAGGTGTACCACAGACCTTCTTACCTTCTGATGCAGATTTAAGGTCTGAACTCTGCCAGGGTATTCTTTTCTTCTCCAAGGTAGGAGGAATTGAAGGTGTTTAGCTTCCTAAGCTCATAAGAAGTGTATACAGTATTACAAAGCTGTGCTGCTTTAACTGTATAACATGGCTACAGTTTTATCACCATATCTGTTGTGTTGTGGAAATTCTCTTAACTGCATAAGGGGGCAGACAGGGATCATTTTTATGACATTACTTAGGTCCACGCTAGGGCATTTTTTGTTTGCTTGTTTTCCAGCAAGCTTTTTGAGTATAGCAGTCTGCTCCTGCTGAAATGGAGGGCGAAGTTTACGCTGACTCAAAGGGGTACTGGAGACTTACAAAAAAAGAGACAAAGACAAGGGAAATTAGTAGCTAACAGCTGAAAAACCACACACAGGGACATACCTTTAGGGCTTTGATCCACTCAAAACACCCAGAAAACAACTTTGTATCAGCATAGTGCTTATTGCGTTATGTCTTAGAAAAATTACCCGCATGCTATGTTAAATATTCCTATGCTTTAGCCACTAACATAATAAGGTACAAAATCAATTTTCAACATTGAGAACATACAGAGCTCCTTTTCTAACATTCAAATAGAAAGATGAATCATTACTGTTAGCAGTAGTGCTAAGACATTTATGCCCGAGTAGAAAGAAATTCACTGTTATACTTATTTGTTCTCTCTAAAATAATGTCTTTATTTAGTTTATGATGAAAATAAAATCCAACTCAGTGCAAAATAAACTTCTGTTATGCTTAGACAGGGCTCTGAACAAAGCTTGAAAACGTGTCTTTCATTCTTTCTCAGTTTTGCATGTAACAGTATTAGAAATTAGAAAATAATCAGGATTTTCAGCTTTGTACTTTCAGTTGGGAAGCAAAGGGGGAAAAAAGGGAGGGGAGGAAAGAGAGACAGATCCGGGCACAGTAGCAGGGTGGGAAAATATTCACTGCAGCTTCCCGCACTGTATCTATTCTACTGGACAAAAGTCTTCGTTTTATGGACAGGAAAAAAGGCCCGAGAGAGAAATCTTTCCTAGACATATTTGGGAGATTCAACTCTTGCCAACAAAGACATCAAGACCTTAATTTCCGTCTAGTTAAACAGGGCTGTTTTTCTAAAACTTTCATCACTGTGATAAGCGGTGTTTTAATATCAACACACACATAGGCAAGTAGGGGCTCTGTGCATCAGCACAATGTTCCTTACGCTTTAAAGGTCACATCCGTGAACTTCCTACGTTCTGCCGTTTTAAAGGATGGCGACTTGAGACCTTGGAAAGTGTTAAAAAAAAAATCTGCCAGCATAACTACAAAAGGCCGTTCAAGTAATTTTCTCCTCCCAAGGCAGAGCTTTTAAGAGTGTACGATTCCAGCGTGGCTCTGCGGCAGCCGGCGGGGCTCCCCCGCCCCGGTCTGGCTGCTGCTCGGGGCAGGGCACAGCCCACCCCGGCTCCCGCAGCAGCGCCGCGGCCCCGGAGGGCAGGACGGAGCGCCCGGAGCGGGGCCAGACCGAGCCGCTACACAGGGGCACGGGCAGCGGCGCGGACACGGCGGGATGCGGGACCCCCGCTCCCCTCGGGACAACCCCGCCCTCCCTGGGCGGCCCCGGCCGCGCGTCTCGTCCCGTCCCGTCCCGTCCTCCACCCCCCGACCTGGTACTCGAGCTCTAGCGAGGCGTCCCTGCGCATGGGCTGGTAGAAGCACTCCTTGCGGCCGGCGGGCAGCGTGAAGGTGAAGTCGCTGTCGAGGGAGGGGCTGAACTCGGCGGCGCGGGGCGGCGGCAGCAGCAGCGCGAGGCACCCGAGCGGCACCAGCAGCAGCCGCGGCGCCATCGCGGCCCCGACCCCGCGCGCTCGGCCGGGGGCGGGGCCGGTATAGCCCCGCCCCCGCCCCTCTACACCAATCGCAGCCGCCGCGCCGCCGCGCCCCGCCCGCCCACAGTGCACCGCGGCCGCCCGCGCTGACCCCGCCCACAGCGCGTCGAGGGTGGTGGGGCCGCGCGTGCGCCGTGTGGGACCCGCGCGGTTCGAGCGCAGTCGGGGCGGCTCCGGCGCGGCTGTGCCGGGAGAGGGGCGGGGCCACATCGGCACCGGGGCTGGGCCCGACACCGACACTGACCTTCTCGGGGCCGCGGGACGGCCTCTCTTCGCCGACCCCCTCCCAGCGCCCCGTGCCTCAACCCTCTGCCAGCTCGGGCCCCTGACGGGGTTCCCGCGGCGCTCTCCACTCGGCGCTGCTTCCTCCGCGCCACCCGGTGCTGCCCGTCCGCCCGAGGATAATTTGCTTTTGTTTGTCGTTTCCCTGGTCACTGGCAGCGAGGCAAGTTTTGCTCATTGGCGTGTGCGCCGTTCCCGTGTCGGACTCCCCGGGAGCTCCGAGGTCACCGCGATGCGCTGTGTGAGGGAGTTTTGGCAACTAATGTATAGCGGGCTTTGCAAGTTTTCCTATATGGCAAGTTGCGAAGCTTTTTGTGTTTCATGAACGTATACAGAACTTCTTTTCTCAAAGGAGGCAATTTGTACAGTTATTTTTATCCAGTGAACATGGCAAGAGGTAGTGTGTGAAATGTACCTTTACATTTGGAAATTTGTGTTTTCTCTTTTCTTAGAAAGAAAAAAATATTTGCTTTTTTTTGTATTTTTGTCTTCTCTCCACCTTCTTTTGGTATCTTTAAAAATATCTTTGCAAATGGTTTTCACGTATGTTTAACAGTGTTTTAATATTAAATATAATTTTAGCTATATTTGTGGTACCAATGGAATGTACTAGGTGGACTTGCCCTAAAAGTGGTGCTGATGAAGACCTGCTTGCAAACGTTCAGTTATTACAGAATCAGCTGAGGAGAACTGAAAAAAACCTTCAAACAGTAGAGAAAGAGCTTTCCAGGTATGAGTGTGTTTGGGAATTAGAACTGTCTGTCTCTCATAGTGTGAATCTGTCTTGTTCAGTGTAATGGATTACTGCAATTAGCTCCTTTTGTGCTTTCCGTTTGAACAGTCTTGAATAAACAACCCTAGTAAGCAACTTAATGAAGAAAAACTAGAGTAGTAACTTTTCACTCTCCCTCCTAACACTAGTACAAATGAACATTACAGCCACTGCTTTGCTGAGGCGACAGACTTCGCTCTGGAGGATTTTGTACAGCCTAATTATAACAGTCAAGGCTTTTCCAACCCCAAGAAGAATTGTGGTAAAACATCTCACCAAGATTTTCAAAGAAAACCCAAAGTAAATATTGCTCTTTATTACTTATTATTATTACTTTGGTTTTCTAATCTTTGCTGGTTTTGGATGTTTTTTGGCTGGTAGGGCTTGGAGCGGGTACACTGTAGCACTGGACAATGATATCAATTGAGCACTCTTAAACAATATGGTTTTTCTGCAAAGTTTCCATTACAACCTTTCAATGCTTGAAGGAGGTTTATAAGAAAGATGGGGACAAATTTTTTAGCAGGGCTTGTTCCAATAGGACAAGGGGTAATGGTTTTAAACTGAAAGGGGATCAGTTTAGATTAGGTGTAACAAGTAAGTTTTTTACCGTGAGGGTGGTAAAACACTGGCACCAGTTTTCCAGACCGATGTTAGATCCCCCATCCCTGGAAACATTCAAGGTCAGGTTGGACAGGGCTCTAAGCAAGTTGATCCAGTTGAAGTTGTCCCTGATCATTGCAAGGTGGTTGGACTAGATGTCCTTTAAAGGTCTCTTTCAACCTAAACTATTTATGATTTTATGATGTATATATTGCTTATGTATTCATATATAAGTGTGTGTGTGTATATAAAAATATATTTTTGTGTCTAGTCTTACTCAGTATCCACAACTTCGGATAAAACTGTGGAAGAAAATGAACGTCTTCAAGAGCAAAATGCATCTTTGACTTCTCAGAACCACTACCTAAAGAACAGAGTGGAAACAATGAACTTTGAATTGATGCAGTCAAAAACAAAAGTATGTATCTTTAGCATATTCATCAAAAAGAAAAACAAACCCCAGCCCCCCCAAACATCCCAGTAACCATGACTTTTGAGTTTATAATTCCAAGCAGAATATGCTGGTTTTTTGTCCTATCTTAAAGTTTAATATCTAATATGTATTTAATATTCAGTATTAATATTGAACAGAATATTTTGGAATCTATTTCTCCATGGGCAAAACAACTATATTAATTATGAATTCTAACTATTCATGTTCCAAAGTTTAGTGTAAAGCCAGTAAGCCATGGAATGAAAAATACATTATGAAAGAAAATAGTTCAGTATATGTATTTAGTACTGTACATTCACATGTCTGAGCTACATTGAGATTAATGTGAATAATAATGGCACAGTAGTCATTTGCATAGGAAATGAAGAGTTAACCTCAGTAATCCAAATTAATAAATTAATAAGTGAAGATGGATTAAAAAGAAATATTATATCTAATAAATGATTACTGATTTAGTATATACTTGTCTGTACAGGTTTGTTTCATGACAACTATATTCTTGTATTTGGTTTGTATATAATGTTAATAAAACATAGCTATGCTTAGTGCTTTTTGTTTGAGAAATGTTATCTCCAAGACAGTACAAATAAATAGACAAACAAAACATTTGACTACCTGACACTGAAAGAAGAAATACTTGAATATAAACTTTTTGGGAAAAGCAAGAGACTGGACATATAAAGAAATTCCTCTGCTAGACAGCATATCACATTGGAACTGGAAGGGATGTTAAATGAGCAGAAAACTGGAGGTCAGTTGGTGTAGATGAACAAAGGTAATTTACAGTAGGGTTAAGAGCACTGTCATTCAGTAAGCAGATTGTTCTTAAGTGTTATCACCCGAAGATATATATGCAAGTGTTAATGCAACTCCAATTATGTTTGTATTTCAGATTTCGTATCTTGAATCCACTTTAGGTACACATTTAGTCAGCGTTCCGAAGTTGAAAGAACAGATTTTAAACTTGGAAGCAGAAGTTTCAGCTCAAGATAAAATTCTGAAGTAATAAGTGTACTTTTAAATCAATGTTTTATTGTTGTCTGCTTGCTAGTCCAATCTCTTTTTTGGGATGACAAAATTACTGGTACTGTGTGAGTCATGTAATCTGGGGTCTGAAACTTTCATTTCAGAGCCAAATATAGGAGGAGGGAGGTGATCTATTTTGTGCTGAATGTACTTCAAGAAATTCAGAAAAAATTATAAAGACTGGTGGAAGAAACCAGGTTATAGTGTGTGCTAAACACAAATATGCCCTGATAACTGAATAGAGGGATTGTGTGCTACATGACTGCATATATTCTGTTGTAGCAAGCATACATATTTTCAAACGTGATGGTGCACTTTGTGATATAAAGGGTCAGCCACCTGGGTCCTTGGCAGTTGTGACACCTGATGCCTATTGATGAGGTTTGGACACCACTCTAGACTGCAGACATACTGCTGGGGAGTCTGGAGACTGCGGGTATTCCAAGCCTAGTCTAGAGAGATGCAGCGTGTTTGACTAGTGTTTCTCAAACATCATGTGCAGAAAAGAACAACAGAAATCTATTTTCTTTACAAAAAAGTTCCTAATTTTTTTGTTATGCTTTATTTATTTGCTAGAGATGCAGAAGATAGACTAGATCAAAACCGGAAAACAGCAATGGAAAGAGAAAACATGTTGCAAAGATATCAAAAGGGCTATAAAAATCTGAAAATGGAGTTAATTAAACGGAGCAAGCAAGGAAAGAGGTACTAAGTCATTTTAATAAATGGAATACAAAATAATACGTGTGTGCTTATTTCCATTGATAGTTATTTATTTTGTGGAATCAAATTACTTTTCTGCTTTAGGGATGTTATTTTTTAAAAAAGGGGAAAATCTATGTGAAGGTTCTGGTTATTTAAACAGGCACATTTAAAATCTTGAAATTAGCTGGTAATTGCAGACTAATATTGTACACTAGTAACCAGTTTATCAGCTGCTTTTTTCCCTTCAGGACAGATGTACTGCAGTGGAGAGCTGAAAAGTGTCCAGAATATATTTTTCCTAAATTATTTTTGTCTTTGTCTTGCAAGAACCTACAATCCATGCTCAGTATTCAGCAGTACTGAGTGCTGTATTTTTGGGGTTGGTGCAAGGAAAGTGATAAAGGCGCAACATAATAGAGAGAACATTTTTGTTATCCTTAATATTACCTGTCTATATGATACTGTTGAAAAGGGTTCTGTAATTCCGTCTCCTAGTGGCTCTGTGGCTATTGGGAGGGTTAGCTAATTTCTTTTGACTGTTAGAAGTCACCATGTACAGTCCTATCACTTCCAAAATGTCATTTTCAAAAAGTGAGAGGATTAAATAAAAAGATTCCTATCTGCCCTATTCATTTAACTCCATTACCTGGGGCAAAAATTAACTGATTACTTGGGAAAGCATTTCCTGAACCTTTTGAATGCAAACTCTTTGTTTGGTTTGTGTATCTACCCATAAAATTACCTCTAACCTTCTTATAGCAAGACAAATGTAAATACTGTGGGGCTTGCACTGCTGGTTGAAGAAATGTGTTGCTTTATGATCACCATTTAGAGCATGTGGAGTTGGAGCTACTTGTACTTAGTTACCAGTTGCAAATGTAAATATTTTGGTGCTTAAGAAAAGTTGAGCCTCTGCCAGGTGTTAAAGGCAAGTGTTATGGCTAGTGTTAGCAATTATTACAGTTTTCTTTTAATCATTAATTGCCACAACTTACTATTCTTTGGCCAGGGAAACTGAAGTGCTTTAGACTAACACTGTTGTGTTATTCTGAAATCCTTTTATCCCCTTCTCTGAATACTTTTGCCGTCTCCAGATGGGTGGTGGTCCTCAGACTGAGAAACACTGCTCTGAGGGTTGGCTGTACTTAGAGGAGGTGTTGCCCCATGCCCACAGCTCCCTTAGTGGAAGAGAGAAATGTTATTGAGCAGCAGTAATTCTTTGTGTGCCTGTGTTGGGTGTCCTGAACAGACTGCATACCTGAGCTTACTGCTCCAACTTCTTCCCTAGTGAGTAACAATAGGGGAATGGGCAGGGGCGTGGTGATAGAGGGAAATACTAGGGATTGTTCCTTTGAGCAGTTTCTCACATGATATCTATGCCTTGGAAAGTTAGATGAGGAAAGGAAGTACCTGGAGCAATTACTTTAATAATTGTTTTTAGTAACTGGAGGAGATAGTTACATAATGGCTGGAATTTGTGGTTTTTGAAATTGTTTTGCTTCTTTGGCTTTGCAGAGCAGAACAGCAAAGAAATGAAGCTTTGTTGAACGTGAAGGAGCTGACAAGAGCTTTCAAAAAGTATAAAGTAGAAATAACTGAAAAATTAGAAAAGGTGAGAGTTTTTTCTTCACTAGTTTTTGCCATGTTTTTAAGATTTTTCTTCTTCCAATAAACAAGTCAGCTAACAGCAACAGGTTCACCAGTGAGTCAGTCGTTTCTGCTTGTGAGTGGCAAAGTCCTAAGAGAGATGGGATAGGGTAAGCAACTATTTGTGGTGATAAATTCAGTTATACAGTTTTACACTGTCTTTGCACAGTCTGGACAGTCTGCATCTTTAGAGTATCCTAATAGTGCTGTTGTTTCTTCTGTCCCCTGCTTGCCAGCTGGGAATTTTACATTTTGGACATATAAGATCCTTTCAAAAGAACTCTTTTTCTCTGTATGTTTAACCTGTTAAATGAAACATGAGCTAGAGGACAACTAGGATGAAGTCATCTCCCAGAGTTCCAGTGATCAAATTGTTAATGCTTCCTGCCTTGTGGGAGGAGAAAATATAGGTCTGAGACAGTTAACTCTGACTGAGATTTTTTTTAATCGGACTTCTTTCCACGTAGAATGAGATTGCCCACCATAAATATGCCTTAAAATATTAAATTAATTTTTTCCCAGATGACACAAGAAGAAAACTTCTTTGCCCCTTTTCTTCACAACAGTGAGCAATAGAATTATTTACAGACTTACCAGAAAGGAAAAAAAGAGCATAGTGTTTATAGTATTCTTTTAAAAATAGCCAGTTGGCCATGGAAGCTTAGTTTATTGTTGTACAGTAATGAAAAAAAATTGCTTTTTAAGGCTAAAGCTGAAGAATTAGTCTTGGGAAAACGTTTAATTAATTGTGAAAAAGAAAAAGAGAAGTTGAATGAAAAGTGTATCAGCTACAGAAAGGATCTAAACATCCTAGAAGAGCAACTAAGGTAACGCAAGGGCTTTTAAAAATCTCTATGGTTTTTTGAGAAGGAATTGCATGATACAGTTGTCACTGTGAATATGCTGCTCCATTCATGTAGTTCAAACCAATAATTTTTTCTACATTATTTTCCATAACTAATCCTTAAATGTTTTAATCCCACATGCTGCCACACATTCCCAGTAAGATGCCACCCTCCCCAAGCCTTCTGGGGACATTGGTTCCCTTGGTCACTCACTGCTGCCTGTGCTCTGTGGGCACTCTGGTTTCATGTGTACCTGTGCTGCTGCCTGTGCCCTGCTAATGCTCCTACCCTGTGAGTTCCCTGGCTGGAGTGAAGGATACCCTTGGCATCCAATGGGGAAGCTGCACTCAGGCTGCAGTGGAGGTTGTGGTGCTGACTGCAGCTTCTGGGATGGTCAGACATGGCTTTGATGTTTTCTGTCACAACTCAAAAGTCCTTTTCCACTTACAATTTTTTATGCTCCTTGTATGTTTTGTTTCAAGCTGAATGCCCCTTTTTTCAGCAGTCCTTTGTAATTCCCTCGTGACTTTAATGGGGGAAGACAACCATGAGCTGGTTGTCTTTGAAGTTGTTAAGTTTGGACAAACACCTGCACAGACATTTTGGGGTATTCTGTTTACATGCATTGTCCACACTCACATTCCTGTCTAAACCATTGTTCTTTAGGCCATTTTGGCAAGATTGGGCAGTGTGTGAACACCCTTCCATGAGTTTGAGCCTACTTAATAGGTCTCTGCTGCTGATGTTGTTTTTTTTTTCTTGACTGTTCTCTTTTTTTCTGCTCAGTTACACCAGGTTTGGAACTCACCAGGGCCTTTGCTGAGCTAATTCAGTTTGGTAAACCACCAAGTACCTAAAAAGTAAATAATTTGAGATGAGCTAAAAATACATTTGTCTCAGTGTACAAGCAGATATGAAGGGAGAAATGGGACCCCTCCTTCTCTTGTTAGTAACAGAATGAAAGAGTAGCTCAGTCTTAGTATCTTCATCCATTTTGATTTTATGTATTGTTATATAGTTATTTTATCCTGTTCTTAAATTGCCCTGGCTTCTGCGCAGTTAAAGCTGTTTGGTTTGTTTCCTACCAGTGACTGTCCTGGCAGTGCTCAAAATTCCATGAAGTTGCTTAAGAAAGAGAAGTTGTTGACTCTCTCCTTTTGTTTGCTGATAACACTTTACGTCTTGGTCCTTAGGAACAGTGAAAGCTTAATAAAGCAGCGAGAACTTTTCTGTCCTTTGTATAGAGCTAAGCCTGGATTTTGAGAGGGAGGAAACTGGTAAAACAGTGCAGGTATGGTGTGTTCTGGTACTTCTAATAATGAAAATCCTCTATGTTGAGCTGTATCTTTTAAATGCCTTTTTAGGCAGTTAAAGGAAGAGAATAGTAGCACAAAAGAAGAAATTAAGACTCTAGAGGCAAAGAACACTGAAATGACATCAATGCTGAGTCGGTCTGATCAGAAGATCATCAAACTTGAGAGTGAACTTTCTGAAAAAGAAACTGTGCTTAAAGAGCAAAATGCTCTAATAAGTGAAAATGCAGAGCTGAGAGCACTTACTGCACAGCAACATAACCACTTGAAATTATGTCATCAAGAAATTGAGAATTCAAGAGAAGAGCTCAACATACTAGAAACCATTATTTCTCAGTTGTCTTCAAGTACATCTGAAGAGGTACAGTAACAAATATGGACTTAGAAGTGTATTATGTGTTGAATAATTTTAAGAATCAAGTTATCCAAACTTTTAACATTCTGGTATATGTGTCTTAAAATTTATATGCTGGTATAATACCTTAATTAATCATGCTGTGAAGCAATATAAAATTGATTTTTCATTGATCTTCGTTTTCCCTTAACTTTTAGTTTAAATGGCACCATTTCAAACACCAGCTTTTGAGTTCCCCAACAAAAGAAGTTATCTCAGAGTCTTGTGGTGAATCAAGTAAACCTTTGATTGCAGACCCAAGGTATAACTTTCTAGTTACTGAATTATGGCAAGAATAGGCAGATAATAAGGTGGTGTTAGAACTAGGATATAGAAAGAATGTTAAATAGTTGTCTCCTCCTTTATAATAGCATTAAACTGTCAATGAAAGAAGCTGAAATTCAAAAGCCTCGTGCAAACTTAACTATCTGTACTGGAACTGAGCATCTGTCTAATGATAATGAAGGACAAGAAAATAGCAGGTTATGTGGCCTAGAAACAGAGCCTGTCAAATTGATCAGAAGTCAAGGAGGTAAGCTTTCTGAAATAGCTGTGCAATTCTGTCTGATTAATCCACAGAACAGAAGTGTTCTGGTGGGGTTTAAATTGTTTTTATAGTTTTATTTTTTAAATGTATCTCTGTGAGCTATGAAGTATGGTTTGGTTGAACAGTGAGCATTTTGCCACCTTGGAAACTGTCATGTTCTCCAGGCACAATATTCTTTCTTTTGCTCGTTAAGTTACTTGTTCAGCAATAGCTAAGCTAGGAGTTGTGCTGAAATGGAACCATGTATTTCTTTCTTAGCAGTTATGCTAAGGTCTTCATATTTTTGTTGATGCTCTTCTCTGTAACCTGCTGTTGCAGTATTTCTGCCATTGCTTCTGTGATTACTATCAGGACTGCTCCAAGAAATTCCTTCAGGGCATCTAATGATGCTGTCTTGGTTTCTTCTTGTTTGTTGGGGTTTTGTTGGGGGCTTTTTCATTTGTTTTCATGAGTCATAGCTTTCAGTTACGTTATACGTTTGTATGTACTTGTATAAATTAATCTTAGATTTGTTTGTTCTACTTTGAGAGAGGAGAAAATGCCAACAGTTGGAACTTATAAGCAAGCAATTTGAAAAGATGAGGCGAAGATTCCAGAAAGAGATAGAAGAGTTACGCACTAAACTGACAAAAGCAGATGATGAAAATTCTTCTTTGAAGAGCAGCATGGCTCAAAGGACCAGCCAGTTTCAAACCATACAAGAAGACCTACTGAAGAAGGCTTCAAAAACTAGTAGCTTAGAGAAAGAAGTAAGTTTTTAGCAGCACTGAAAAAATGTCACTTCTTTTTCATTTCAGTAAGCAAAGACAGTGAAGACAATAGTTATTGTCTTCAGTTAACTGTAATTGCCGTATTAATTTTAAAATCTGATTTATTTGAGAAAAATCTGAACTAAACTTTTCAGCAAGCAGAAAAATTTAAAGATAGAAGCCTCAGTTTATTAGCTGTTGGAAATATGGTTTTAAAGCTGATGTAGTAGTGCGCTTTTCTAGTACTACTTTGAGTTGTTATGTGGAAACTATGCTCAGTCTCGTTACTTTGGTGTGGTTTAATTAATGTGTAATCTTAGGAAATAGATGTTGAAATACACTTGTATTTTTCCTCATTAAATGTTAGTGCAGTTGCCAGAGATAAACATCATTACCAGAGAGTCACAAATGAAAGAAATTAGGCTTCAGCTCATCTCAGGTTGAATAAGTTAAAATGCTAATGTTTACATTCTTATGCTAATGTGTTTATAGAGTTCAGCATAATGGGATTTGAAGTATTTCCTAATAATGGACGTAAATATTATAACTCTGGAATAGCTATTTTGCTCACAGTTATCATTAATTGGATAAATTTTAGGTAAATTGTCCTGAATCTTTCTCTTTAAGTAATAAAATTTAATAGATCAACAAAACAAACGATTAATTAAAAATGCTATAGTAGCACCTAAAATGGAACCAGTGATAAGAAAGTATATACAAATACTTGAATAAACCCCTAACAGTTGTTTACATGCTGTTTAGTGCCATGTTTAATTTCAGATAAGAAAGAAATCTTCTCAACTTTCTGAACTTGAGGAACAGTTGGAAGAAAAGACTATTGCTTATTCCACTACTGCAGCAAGAAATGCTGAGTTGGAACAGGAACTCATGGTAAAATGTTCTCAATGAGAAACTATATTTATGTAAAAAGACATAAGTGGAGATTAAAGTTTAATTTAACAGTAGTATTCAAAATGGATAGACTTTCAGATCTGGTAAATAATCTGTGCAGTTTTTAGGGTATGCAGTCTTTGAAAGCTGAATCTTGTTTCAAATAAAACATTCCTTTTTCCCTGCCTTTGAATGTGGTAAGTTATTAACAGACATGTTACTTTTTCCTTATGATATGTGCAATGAAGATCTGGTCCTATTGAAGTCAATTGTAGCATTGCCATTTGTTTCAATGAAATACATGTAGACCTGTGACTAAAAAAGTCTTCAAAATGCTATTTTAAACGTGCCATCTCTCCATGGGAGGGTAGAATTTCTTTTTATCTTTGTCAGAAGTTATCTGTGCCACAGTCCACCTTGGCAGACACCTTGTCTCTGTAGCTGCTGCTTCTAGTGATTCTTCTCTACCTGTGTTACAGATGTGACATCCTTTTAGATGACACATGCAGCGTGTAACTTCAGTATTTTCTGTGTTGTTCTTTTACAAAATCTAGAAACTAGATGATCAAATAAACTGCTAATATCACAAAATATTTTTATTAAGTCTTTCTGTTGTTGCCGTTTCCCAGGAAAAAAGCAGACGCATTCATGAGTTGGAAGCAACTATCAGTGAAGAACATGAGAAAATAAATTCTGCTTTTGAAAATGCAAAGTTGGTTCACCTTGAGCAGCACAAAGAGATGAAGAAACAGATAGAACTAGTAAGACCTTGTGTGCTAGTATGTTAGAGTGTTATACTTGGTAACTTTTTCCTATGTTAATTTCTTTGTCTTTCTTGTAATTGTGAGACACATCCATTTAAAAAGTTATATTAAGAAGTTCATTCTTCTCCATAGGTTTCCTGACTTTACTACATTTTCCATCTAACTACACAACTGTCCTTCTGAAATATTCATATCCTCTTTTCTGCTCAACTAAAGAGAAGTAAGGACTTAGGAAGTTCTTTGCTCCAAACAAAGCAAAACAAAAAAAAGTATAGCTTTATTGCCTACTGGATTTAAACCATGACAGCTTCTAACCATGTTTTCTTTTTGGCTGAACCTCTGCCAGCCTGAGCCTTATGAGCATCTGTGTTCAGGGAGAATAGTTGGTAGGTTTTTCATTCTTTGAAGAAGAATTCTGTTGCTTCATGTGATTAGAAATATAACTGTGGCTATTTCTAGCTGTTCAAGAAGCTTGTCATCCTTTACTGAAAAATGTATGCATGTCTTGGCTGATGACAGATTATTACACTCTGTCTGCTCTCATTCTCTGGATTCTCCTCTTGATTTAAGACATTAAGTGTTTGGGATTTCTTGATAATTTTAAGACTGTGCAATGCTGCTGATGGCAAGACTATTTACTTTTCATTGGAAAAGTGGTGGGTGAATAGAACTGAATGACATTTAGATGGAAAAATTCTTATTTAAGTAATAAATTATGATTTACTTATGAACAGCTTCAGACACAGCTGGAGCAGAAACATGAACAATTCATTAAACAAGAGAAAATAATATCTGTTTTACAACAAGAGGTTATACATAAACAGCTTCATTACATTGAATCATTGGATGGGCTGCTGATAGGAAGCAGAGAGGTAAGGTTGGCTCTTGACTTTCTTTAAATGCAAATTGAACAAGTGACTAATAATAATGAAAAGCACATCCATAAATACATGGGAAAATTGGAGAAAATTAAAGATGCCTATGTTTTTACTTTTTAATTCTTGTTTGACTAATTGACTGAACTAGTGTAGTCACCAGTTACTGCTACTACTACTATATATTGTACAAACTTCAGTGGCCTTTCATTTTCTTCTATCTCAGCATTCTCTTTATGTCTCTGGTTTGTCCCTTGGGCTTCTTGCTCTGATCAAAGGAAATAGATCTGGATAAAGAAAAGTTGCATCTGTTCTGCACTAGGTGGAAAACCAAGAATGTTCTAGTCTGATAATGCCTGCTGCTGCAGAATATGAAGGGACATCTGTCAGGAACCAAATTTACTTCAGAGTATCATGTACACAAATACATTATAGAAGCAATTGTGTTTTAAATACACTGATCTGGGTTTTTTCCCTTGATTCTTAATGTGAGTTTTTATTAAATTACTGTTACAATATTTACATTTTGTTCTCTTGAATAAAAATATGTGTACAAACAGGAAATGGAAAATCAAAATGTCAAGAAAGATCAAGGATTGAAGATGCTGGGAAGTCACTTAACAGAAGAAACAATCAAAGTTAATAAGTTCTTTGTTATTTTCAATTAATAGTTTTGAAGTTTGCAGTAATGGTGTATTTCCTTTTGTCCTCTATAGAAAAAAATTTTTATAGAAATTTGTCTTAGGTAAATATTTCAGAAGTCATTGACCTGAAGTTTTTCCATTTTTTTTCTGTTGTTTCTTTTTGGTTTGGTTTCAATTTTTTTAATTAAAACGAGTATGGTGAAACCTACAGTAAGGCATTATGCAATGCATAATTGCTTTATAAAATTATTGTAGTTACAAATAGGACAGACTTGTGCTTATTGTACTCTCAAAGTACAATTTTGTCTAACAGAACTAATGTTATGTATCTTTTTTGTCTAGATATGGCATATATTTTAGATATATATGATGCTATAATATTGGTCACGTTTTTAGCCATCTATACCTCTTCCTAGTGTTTGCCTGATAAATATTTTCCATGCAGCACTTGCCACAGTATCTTAATGAACCAGTGCCATGTGGTGATTTACCCCAGTGAGGTTTCAAACAGTGTTAAATCTCCAGGATATCAGCAGGAGAAGATACTGGGGTCTCAGCTGTTAGCATGCTCTTTCTGGGCTTGTGTTGGACCTGTTTGCTATCCAAGTGGCTTTGCAGTATTTGGGACATTTTACAGAGGTTTAAAATTAAGACCCATTGTAATTTCTCTTCAACAAACTCTTGAATGGGATGGAGAGAGAGATATACAGTCCAGTGTGATTTAGAAAACTGGTACTCTGCAAAATGGAAAGCGTCAGCCAATCTGCAGCTAAATTCAGCACAATTCTCATTGATGAGAAGTCTTAGCATCGAAACCAAATGGTTAAGAAAAGCTTAATTACTATGGCTCAAGACCTTTGGGGGTTTGTTAATTATAATTTTTATCTATTTGAGGTTATAAGATATTTGTTAGAGATTACTCAAATTCAAATTAATATTGAAAGGGTAAAGCAGATTAACAGTGTTGACATTGCTCAAAGCTCTTCCTTTCCCTTTTGGTGAAACTCTGGCACTGTCTCCCAGTGCAGAAAGGGAAAACATGCTGTTAGTAACTTTCTCAAAAGAAGTATATCAGGAGTGCTGTTTTTGTATCTGAGTGTTATTTTTGGAAAACATGTGTCAACTCACATATGATGATAATTCCAAATTTATTTATACAGTTCTATCTATAACAACCTATGATGGATTAATGATTTGGTATTGGGCATATGTCTGCTTTTAAATTCTAGCTACTGACAAATATTGGAATATCTTCTCGTAACTGATAGTCTCATCCGGTTTAAACACAGTCTAAAGTACTGTAATTGAATTTCACAAATAATTTTAATTTCTGAATACTATTTCAGTTTTAAAGTTTATCATAATCTTCCATTACTATTTTAATACTCTTTCGATAAAAATGTAGCTTTTTGGACATTTTATACAAAGATAACTTTTAACACAATTTTTAGACTAGCTAATACAGACCATGCCATGCAATTTTAAGTGATCTATTGCATCCAACTAGGTACAACAACTCGAGTCAGCATTAAAGGTATGTAAGGAAGAAGTTGTAATGTATTTGAGTCAGTCACAAGAAAATAAGAAGGTGTTTGAAAATCAGCTCAAAGACAGGTCTGAAGAGGTAATAGCTTATTTTACAACTCCTCTGTATTGCAGAGAACACCTGTTATGATCGATTTAATCTGAAAGTTTGTAAAATAACAGTGAAAACATTTGCAACAGGAACTGTGAATAGGAAGTAAGTTGGGAAAGATGATGCATTTTGTGAGGCTAAAGGGGAAAAATCATACTTAAGAAACACTTGATAAGCTTAGGGAAAAGAAGCACTCACGATAAATGAATTATTGAAAGAAGTAACAAATCAGAATTATGTGAAACAAAGCATTCTCTTGAGGAAAAAAATGGAGGGAGCAGTATTGCAATATAAATTTAGGTGCACATAATTGATTTGTTTTTCAACTATCTTAATGGGGAAGAAGTCCTGTGCATAAGAAAATGTTTACTTCAAGCCCCAGAGTTTTATCATACTTTCCACTACTACATGAAAGCAAGAAGGAATTGAGTTTAAATATTAGTATGAATTTTTCTTTGTGAGTATGCCCAACCACACGAACTAATCATATAGTAGGCTGTTCATGTCAGTGCTGACCTGCTGAGAGAGAGGCTTCCGTCAAACAGAGATTGCCAGACCCTGAAATTAAAAATCTCTTATGTATGTTCTTAAAACATTGACAAGTTATATTTAGAAAGCAAGGATCAAAAACTAGGACTGCTAAGTTACCACTATCTTAACCTACTTTATAAAGCACAACTCAGTGATGAATTATGAGGTCTGTTATGTACTGTTGCAACTGTAATGCAACTAAATTCAGAGCCAGAACTTCTATTGAATCATAGATGTGATTCTGTGCTCATTAAGAGAGAATAGCTATGCAAGTGAAAATAAAAATTTTTTATTGTAATGGAAAATAAATGTCTTTTCAGCTTGATTTTTTACAGAACGAAATAAAAATAAAAGATCAGAATATTCAGGACATGAGTGAACAAACTATTCTCCTACAAACTTTGCTTCATCATCAGCAAATGTTACAGCAAGAAACTATTAGAAATGGGGAGCTGGAAGATAATCAGATTAAACTTGAACAACAGGTACAGTATGGTGAGAAGTGTCTACATAAAGAGAGAAAATTAAATGCCTTTAGATGTGTTTCTGTAATACCTTTAAAATCTGAATGTTTCTTTGATAACTGAGTTGATAATTATGATTTTAGATATATCTAAAATAAAGAGTTTAGTGGTTTGTTTTATCTTAAACCAGGTTCTGTGCTATCAGAAACGCTAGCTCGCATTAGAGTGGCTAGGTACTTTGAAAATCAAACCCTAGACTGCAATTAAGGAGAGGTGCATTTAAATTCAGAAAGTTGTCTCTTGTTGTATTTACTAGAAACTATTTGTCTTTCAAATGTGCAAAGTTCTAGTCTTAAATTATATACAGACTGTAAAGACGTGCTGTGTTAAACCCCTCATTATGTTATGTGAGTTGCAAGACAAGGATGTATGTTTCTTTGGAATGCAATTTAAAAGTACTCTGAATACTGTTTGCCAGGTATCCACTTTGGAAAAAGAGCTTCAGAAGCAGAAAGCATGTGCAGCAGATGAGTTGAGAAAAGTAGAGGAGAAACTTCGGTTCGCTGCTCAGGAAGCAGATTTAAACAGACAGAAGGTGGATGGACTGAATTGTACAATCAGGTAGGTTCGGTGTAACAGAGGGATGTTCTGCACACAGACATGGATCAGAAAGGTTGCTGTCTGAAATGGTATTCAGCTCTGTAGTTACACACTTCAGCCTCTGTATGAGCATAGACTCAAATTCAGAAGGGAAGCTTCTAAATAGCAGAGGCATGAGTTTCTGGAACAGTTTTCCAGTGGAATTAATGCATGTCCTGGCAACCTATTTAGCCTTAAGATGGTACTTCATGATGCAGTTCAATTCATAAATGTATCAACTTTCTTGTAATTGTAGATAGTATATTCTAGGGGAGCTTACTAGTCTTACAGAACATTGTTTTGATTGCAAGAAAAACCTACTTAACATGACTTTTTTATTTCTATTTTATTCACAAACCCTTGTCTTAGAGCATGTAAGGGTATGCACATCTTGTTTTTATTACGTGGTTCATTTTTTTCTGGTTGCTTCTATTAGGCAGATCAAATTGGAGATGGATCAGTGCAAGAATGAACTTATTAATATGGAAAAAGAATTAGTGCAATTACAACAAGATGGTGAAAACAAAGTAGTGCAGATAAATCAGTTGGATATCACTTTGGAAGAAGCAAGATCAAAGCTCAATAAAAAGGCAAATGAGGGTAATTTGGCTATTTTGTTTCTCAGGCTTCCTTTCATTATGCTATTTCTCTTTATGTATTAGACATTTTTCCATTTCCCCTTGTTTTATAATCAAGTACATGAGAGTCAAAAAATGATAATTTTTTTAATGTATTAGTAATTCCATAGCTAAAAAAACCCAAACAAACAAAGCCAAAACCGACCAAACAACACCCCCACAATGCAAAAAAATCACAAGCTTTTTTTTAACATACCTTTGCAAATTCTCACTTCTGTAGTATATACCTTTACCCAGGTGAAATGAATAAGTAGTTTCCCTGTAAATTGGCAATGCAGATTCTTACTGTGATAATCAAATGAGGCACATACATTTCATAAAGGCATATGCTATTCACAAAAAATCAGCTCTTTAAAAGAAACAGAAAACCCCACAAGGGAGTCTATGGAAATAAACTTTCTAATCCATTATCTCAATTTAATTTAATTGTACCATTGTTTTGAACCAGAGGAATACCAGCAATTCTGCTTGCATTTTTCAAACCACTACATATTCAGTTGCTATATTGTCCCTGCACTTTCTCCTTGGCCAGGTGTTTTTAGATATATCCTCATATTTCAAGTCATGAATTGAATGAAAACATAGCAAAGACTTACGTGCCATAGGAAGGCTTTTGTATAAGAAGTCAGTGTTTTTCTAGATTGTCCTAAAAAATACTGATACTGAAAATTTATTATGACCACAAATGCTACTAGGTAGTGGTGTTGCATAAAGACCCTGACATGCTGATGATTAGGCATTTTGTCTTTTGTGGTGTGTGTAAAATAGTGAATGATTTAGAAGATAAGCTGCTTCAAAGTGAGACTTGCCACAGGGAAGACTTACAGAAAATAGCAGAACTAGAATCTGCATTACAGAATGCCCGTGGAGAATTAAAAATCACTTTAACACAGCTTCAGGAATTGCAAGATGCATTACAAAATGCACAGTCCTCTCTGGAGGAGAAGCACATTGCTATCATGGAGCTAACAACTGAGCTCAGGTAAGCTGATATCTTTTCCATCATGAAAACTTAGTTGTGTTAATTTTTCCTTAGGAATAGCAAGTAGCTTGGATGGCTTTTTTCTGATGTTCTTAGCAGCTCTCTATAATTTTGAGGTGGTTTTCAGCTGTAAGATAAGTTGATACTTGAGCTCACTTTTAATTTCTAAAAGTGGTGCTGAATTCTTTTTTAGGAATTCTGTTTTAAAATCTGCTAAAATTATTTTCTGAATCCCAAAGCTGTGAAGTAATTGTACTAAGAATAGTGAAATTTTCCAGTTTCCTTTCTGACCACAAATTAATGATACTTTCTTCAGTACTATTCTTTTTTAAGAACACATTTTCCTGATATAGCCAATTAAATAACTTGAATAATGAAATTGTTGGGAAATCTCCACCTGGAATACAGTAAACAGAATTATTCCATCTGGGTTTGTTTCTTTGCAATCAATTAGTTGATTCATGTTTAGGGTGATATGGCTGTAAGTAACAGAGCTAATGATTTCCAAGCTGGATACATGAAGCTAAGCAACTGAATGTGCATTAAGCAATTAGACATATGAGAATTTCAGGTATTGCAAGGGTGAAGTTGAAGACAAAAACCAAGAACTCCTTGAAATGGACCAAGCACTGAAAGAAAGGAATTGGGAACTGAAACAAAGAGCAGCTCAGGTCAGATTATTTTAAGTATGTTACTGACAATTGTTACTGTTATGTGGTAGATAACTTATGAAAAGCCTGCTAGGTTTGGTTGCTTTGAGGTATTGTCTCAAACTGTACTGTTACTATAGCCACAGAGTCAAGCTCAAAACCAGCTCTGTGTTACTGAAGCCTTATGGTACCAGGAAAATCAGGTTGTGCTCCCCTAAGGGACCACAGAGTTCTGTTTGGATGAAACAGAAGCCTCATACAAACCCTTCATTAGTTCTTCATTAGTGATAAAGTTATAAGACAACTGTTCTCATCTTGATGTGTGGTAAGAGGAAGAAAGAGCTGTGCTGAAGTGTGCTTGGAGATGATAGACTCCTTTCCTTGTTTGCACTGGAGCATGTTTGATTAGCTCTAAAGCAACCTCTAAATATGAAATGGGCTTCTTTGGTGCCCATCATGGGAAAATTCTTTTTCTGCCACTTATAATTAGCCTCTTCCTGCAGGAGTTACTAGCCTTTGTATTCAAGAATATTTGAGCTTCAGAGAGGAGAAGTGGGGATTTCAATAAATCTGTTTAAGCAACTGACACTGTAAGGAGGCCAGATCTTGCAATATATTTTTGCCACAGTATCCTGTGAGCTGCTCCAGGAATTCATCAAAGCATTTGATGAATCGATGGGTTTTTTTGGTTTGGTAAAATCTGTCACTTTCTAACAAGAGGGATTTGTATAATTACTCATTATATTTCTTTTAAAATGAGATATAGGCTTGTATTCTGTGTATATGAGGACCTAACATATTCAGTTATGGATTTTTTCCTGATTTTCCCCTTTTCTTTTTATGTTTGGCCACTATTTTTTTAAACAACATAGCTAGGGTGCAGTTTTAGAGAATACTCTTGAGGCTACAAAGGATTAATTTCATTCATTTTGCTATCATGGTTTGTAATATTGCTTCTTAAAATCTGCATACTAATTCAAAATAAAATATTTTCTTTTCTTCCTTCCTTACCTGTAGATTACACAGCTGGATATGACAGTTCGTGCATACAGGGAAGAAATGGAACAACAAATAATTCAATTACAGTGCAATTTAGAAAAGTCAGAGTTGGAAATCAAGGAATGCAATAAAAAGGTAATTCTCACTTAATTAAAAACAGTCTCCCTAACAAAGGGCAGCTAATTTTATGAGAAAGTCTGGTCCTGGGACACAATAGCTGGACAGGTTTAATCTAGAAGATGAAAACTGGTTTCTTATTGTAGGGAGAGGGAAGGGAGTACCTTTATAATGTACCAGCAAAAACACTTCATTTGTCAATTGAAACAATAAATTTTGCAGGGACATAACAGTGCAAAAACAAAAACTTATTTTTTCACTTGATATGATATAGCTCCCAAACTGCTCTTTTGGTAAAGGAATATGTTGACAAAATAAAAAATCGACAAGGGAATCCAAAGTCAACGGTAAAACTGATGGTTATTTGTGAGTTTTCTTTGTTTTGTGTTTTTGGGGTTTTTTTAAATCATTCTGGCTTTGGTAAAATATCAGTTCTGATTTAATTGCATTTTCTGTTCAGATTGAGAGCTTAGAGAAGAAACTTCAGCATTCTAAAGATCAGCTTCGTGAAAAAGAGTTTGAATTGCTCCAGAGAGACCAGGAAATAAATCAGCTGAAGAAAAAAAAAATCAAAGAAAACAATATAGCCTAGAAGCTCTTGAAAAGGTAAAATGTACACAACAAATTATCAATTTTTAATGCCATTACTGTACCTGCCTAGAAGGAACTATACAGTGTCTCTTTAGCATAAGTGTCTTAATTCTCCCAGAATCATTGTATTTTATATCCTGGTGTTTGCTGAATCTTAATCCCCTGAAGTTAAACCAGTTTAGTTATTTAAAAATTACAAATTTAATGGCACACTCTTAATTGTCTGCTTTCTGTGGAGAAATTTGAATACTGATTATCTTTAGTAACCCTATTTTCTGACTGTGGACAACATGGTCTTCCTTGAAATGAAACAAAACAAAATGCTGTATAATGAGAGCTTCTCATGATTTAGGTACTATCTTGCAAAAATTATTGCATCCAAAGAGCCCTGATATATGGCATGTTTATAGGAACGGGAAGTGAGAGTTTTTTGGCATAGTGAATGGGAGCATATGGATAAAATAAACTTTATAGATGACTTTATGAATTATACAAATCTTTGGTTTGGTGCATGAATCAGTCACTACAAGTATAAATGTGACCTGAGATAAGTAGGCTTTGTGCAGATGATTGCCAGCTAGAGGTAAACTCCAAAGCCACAATGGCTCCTGCTACTTTGGTTGTGCTGCATTTGTGTGTTTCTTTTCCCTAGGGTGAGATATCAGAGAAGGCTCATTTCTGTGTGGTCACCAAAAGCATTTGATCTGTATTCTAGATCATGGGGGCTTGGCAGTGTAACAGCTGAATATGAAGGTTGTTTCACTGCCAATTAAAGCAGTGTCAGCTCTCCCGTCTTGTTTTCTGTTAGGTTGTTTGTGACACTTGAGAACAGGACAGTGACTGCTGCTACCGTTCACACATATCATTAACGTATTTCCAACTTTTCCTGAGGGATGATTCTGAAGGAAAGAATTTCCTAGCTAGCCCCCGTACAACTGCTGACTAGACCCTTTCTTTCCAGACAAATTGCCTTGTTATTGTTTTTGCTAAGGAATACCAGGTAAGGAGAGACCTTAGAATGATATAAGAAAGGCTTTGAAAATAGACCTACTCCACTCATGTTCCTTTAGAGACTTGGGATGAAGGAAAAGAAATTTTAAGTTTATTTTCATTGTAATGAGGAGGATAAAACACTAGATTTTGGAAGCATTCTGCATAAAATACAAAATACATTGCAGAGGGCTTCTGGCTCCACTTAGAATATGATGTGGTTCCTTCTTTGTGTCCTGGGGTAAGCAGCCCCCCCTCCGGTGGGGCTCTGAGTTAGAAATGGTCAGTTCCAGTTTTCCCTTCCCCCTATAGAGGTGTGCCTGCCTGAAAGTTTCTCTTTGGTGTTGAGGTAAAATCGTGGGAAGGTGGGGGAAGCTTGGAGATTGGATTTTTATTTTTGTGGTGGTCAAACCACCACATTTTGTTTAAAAATTGTGTATATTAACAGGATGTAAGAAAACGCTTTCTCCCTTAGTAACACATTGCAGACTGACTGACCAGTCTTCCACAGAAACTTTCTGTCCTAGTTCTAAAAACTCAATTGCCTAATTTATCTAGGGAAAAGGGGTACGGGCTGTGTGTGTCTGGCCCAGGGGAGTAGTCTGTCTCATTCTTTTTCCTCTTAATACACCACCTTGTCTGCTTATTACAGAAAATATATTAGTTCAGGGGAGGAATTGCTAGAGAGGGTTGATTTCTGTCCTAGTCCACTCTGCCCCTTTGGGACTCATAAAATAACCAGGTCACAGATTTTTCAGTTGAATCGTTCTTTGTTCTTACTCTGCTTCAATCTGCAGTGAGGATCTTGTAACAATTCAGCACTCTGCTACCCTTCGAAGTTGTAAGTATTCCAAATAAAGGAACTGAAAATATCTTACTGAACATTAAGAATGGGTTTTTCATTTTTCTGGGAAATTGAAGTAATTTCCTTTATTAAAAAAAAAAAAAAGCAGATTGGACTTATAGCAAACTAATTTTTTGTGACCCTAGTTTCTTCTGATATGAGAAATGAAAGATAAATCTTTTTACAAATTGATTTAGATATAATAATTTGAATGCAGAAGTTTAAAGGTTCTGATCGCAGATACTTTGTTTCAGGGGCAAGAACCGTGAAGAAATGAATGTTGCCCCATGGACAAGCAGCAACCCAGGAATGCTACTGCTGGCATCATTATTGTGCATTCAAAGAGGAAATGTCAATGTTGTATTTCTAAAGAAGGAATATAGTTATTTGTACTGAAGCAGATGATACCCTTTTTATTTTTCCAACTGTTTTTGAGATTATTGCCTTGATTTAATAACATATTAATTTATTTTTTATACTTTAAAAATTATTTATCTTAAGTTGTAGGAATTAATTTCAGCTGTCATCTTTTTCCAGGGATTTTGAATGGTGTACTTGTTTCATATCTCACTTTTAATTAAAAACACAATGGTATTATTAAGAATTTTTGTTTGGGAATATTTTATCTTATTTTTTTGTACATATGCAGTGTTGCAGACACAACATCTTATTAAAATTGGCCTGTTTGTAAGATGTTTTAGGACACTGATGTGATCACAGACACTGGCAAAACCTGCTTGCTTTATTCCAAGCACTATCTTTAAGATGCAAAAGGACAAGGCCATAAAGCTTTCTGAGCTTTGAGCTTTTTTTTTCTTCTAACAAAAATCCCTACAAAAATTACCATAGATTAAAATGGCATCATAATTGTGCATTCTAAAACATATTTATTTCCATTTTTCCACAAGTACTACACAATTTAGCTGTACGAATGGCTGGTGGCCCCTGCAAATGTGGTTATGAGGCCTCAATCTGAGTCTGAATAATGCATACATGATTTATGTGCATTAAGACGTGATTCATACTTCAGAAAATCAAGTTAATAAAGTTACTTGACTTGAGGAACAGAATTGAATGTGTTGCAATTTAAATCCTAAGCCTCAGTTAAGTGTTTTGTATATTAAAAGTGAATCTTGGCCAACAAATATATCTGTTGTGTCTCTGCAACTCTGCAAGTGGTCCTGTGCCAAAGTCCTTGGGCAGTCATAGGCCTTTCATTGTTTATGTAAACACGTTCCACAAATGCCACACTCTAAGTGGTTCTGCAAAACCAGCCACACATTCTGCTGCCATTGACAAGGTCAAGATACACTTATCTAAAATATTTCTGCAGTTTCAGATTATTTAATCTGCTATTATGAAAATTATGATGTAGTGAAAAATACTGTTCCTTACAGAAATATATTGCGTGTTTTACATCAAGCTGTACGTTTCTCTACATAATAGTAAAGGAAAAACATTAGAATTAGGTTGACTGGTGTAATAATTGCAAATTAAACTATTATTTTTTTCCTCTCTTTAGGAACATCACTTTGCCTTCAGGCTAGAATTCTATGCATCAAATTTCAGACAGATTTTTTTTAAAGCAGTGGAAGCCCTTCAAACTAGGATTTCAAGTGGAAAATACAACCAATCTGTAATTACAGCTGCATCACAACACTAGTGGAATTCCACTAACTAGCATTGCATAAAGCCTCGCTTGCTCCTCCTACATGCACTAAATATAAATGTGCATGAGCAGCAAAAGCAATTTGCCTAATCTCTGAATCAGCTAAATAGCATTTGCACTAAAATTTTGTCTCTATACTAACTTATCTGGTTAAACTGTGGGTCAAACCTGATAAATAAGCAGAATCATAATTATGTTTTCTCTTTAGATGTTGTGCTATTTTGTTGCTTGCCTGAGAAGTTAATGATTCCACTTATACTGTTCAAGTCAATTTATTTCTTTTGGAAAGGATGGAATTGGTGTTTTTTAACATAATTTCAGTTAGATGTTTCTGTAGGGTCCTACTTTTCTTGAATTAGTAATGAATTTACTTCTCTGCAAATCCTGGAACACTAAGTTCATTTTTCTGAAGTGCATTGCATCACATGGGATTGTTGAGTCTTGGAAAACATTTTACTGGGTATAATGGCATTGCAATTAGCTAAATGCTGCTCATAAGGCTAATTGCTTATTAAGGTCTTTCTTTTTTCTGTCACCGAGGGCAGAAACAACACACTGAGTTTCTTTCTGCAATGTATCTGCAGTTACTGTATGTTAAGTTCGCATTGCACCAAAGTGCCAGTCCAAATGCCCCTCTGTTTAATCCACAGTTTATATGCAAAATTGGTGGAATATTTTCTCCAAAACTAGAACGGTCCAAAACTCAGACATCATGCTAGTTCTGATTTTTCTAAATTTCCATGTTGTCATTTGCAGAATCGAAAGTGTTGAAAGAGATTCCAGTCTTAGCAAGCACGTAGTGAAGCTGGTCTGTCCAACATCTTCCTGTCAGTTCTCCGCTGCCAGTATACTTGCTTGCTTTCTCTATTCTTGGTTGGGAACTCTGCCAAAAGGAAATGTGAGGAATCTGTCCAACAACTTGTCTCTTTCAAAATCCACATCCCATTTTTCAATTTTTTTTTTCTGTAATGGCTATTAGGACTCAGTAAGGGATTGGGAAGAAATCCATTCTTCATTCTGTTACAAAAGAACAAGGAGGGTGCAGTAGATGTAGAAAATCTGACCAGCTTTAGCTGAGGGATCCCACTTTGGGTGCAGTTTACTTTCCATAAATATGAGTGGAAGACTCGACACTACAGACTGATTGTAACTGTGGCAAGGCTTTTCCTGTCAGTATTGTGCAAGCTGGTTATTCTGTTAAAAAAAATTCATGTAGTTTACAAATGTCTTATTTTTAAGTTTAATCAAATTTCGTATTAAATATAATCCGTGTTGATAATGCAGTTTATAAGCACATGCAGAAGCATCTGCTTCTGTTTTTGTCTAATTGGAGATTATCCCTTAATCATGCAAGGCCCAGGTGTGCACTTTCAGATTTGTTGACTCAGGGAAGCTGGAGGTAACATTAAAGGCCAGTCACATTGTACTGTAGTTACATTTAGGTTGTTGCTCTTCTGAAGAAGACTCTTGGATGAACCACTCAGTGAAAAGAATGGCAAGAAGAAATGTCCTCATTACAGGTTGCTCCTCAGGAATTGGACTGGCATTAGCTGTAAAAATGGCAAAAGATGAACAGAAAAGATTTAAAGGTAACCATGTATCTGTTATTTATCTTTATAAAAAGATTCTGTTCAAGACAGTGCTGTTTTTTCCTCTGTGATTTTACAGGCAGTTGTATTCAGCTTGGTGACTCGTTTCTTGTTAGTTTTCCTCTTTTACTGCCAAGAAAATACAATACAGTGAAAAATATACTGTTTTCTGTAAGCAGTTTATATTTCTGTAGCTGTATTGAAACTGAACAACTACTGGAAGCGAATAAGTTTACACACACTGGGAAAAGATGGGAACATAAAGCCGAATAGCAGCAGATGTCTGTAGTGTGCTACCTCAGATACACATTCACAGCTTTGCTCGGGGCTCCTAAAATCTGTTGAATGAAATGTATGTGCCCATGCCCATTTGAGGACCAAAGAAGGGAATTTAGGTAAACAGTTCCTAAATTTGCAGTTTTTTCTTTAAAGCACATGTCATTATTCCAACTCTGTGCAGGCATAACTGGGTGAACAAAGGGGCTGGGATTTATCTTACTGCTGCAAAACAGGGTATTTGCTATGACTGAAAATGGATGGCAAGGTGAACTTAGCAATCTGTGGTCATTCAGTTTCTCATACTTACTCTCACAGTTTTTTACTGCTAACTGACTGGATGCAGATTCAGAGCTTTCTGAGTAATTAGGCCACAATAATGTTAAAACTAATTTCTATTTTGAGAAGTAGCTTGCAAAAAGTAGACATTTTTTCAACCTAAGGAAGTATTTGTCTTCCACTTTTTTAATAAAATTATGGTTGGTCTACTAAACAGGTTGATGGTGATTTGAAACAAAAAAAGAAAGAGATAGGTTTTGAGTACCTAAAAAAAATTTAACCATATAACTTGATATCCGTTACTTAAATTTTGGAGATAATATTGTCTTTATACACTGCATCCTTCATTGTGCATAGTGGTTTAATTCTTCTTTTGAATTTCTTGAAGATTTCAGAAACAGTCTCTGGGAAATCAGTGACAATATATGTTGAAAATAGTCTTTTTACTTCTAGTTTTTATCTGGTTTCTATCACTGATATGTAAGATCTGGATGTAAAAGCAATATTCTTTAATACTTCTCAGTAAGAGCGACAGAGTAAAGATTTTATTTCTGATAACTGTTGCTTCTGATGTGTTGCAGTTTATGCCACAATGCGGAATCTGTCCAAGAAAGAGCCACTGGAGGAAGCTGCGGGTCACAGGCTGGGCAAAACCCTCGAAATCAAACAACTCGACGTCTGTGATGAACAGTCTATTAAAGCTTGTGTGAACAGTATCCCTGACAGAAGGATTGATGTCCTAGGCAAGTACAGGATGTGTGTGCTATGAACAGATACCAGATTTCTATGTATCATCATCTCAAATAACCTGCAGAAGTTTCATTAGTGTAGTTTTTAAATTATCAAAGTAATAATAATTGTGTAGTATATTCTGTTCAAGATTTTAAGACATGAGTAGATTAAATTTAACCCTGCTTCCATGAAGTAGGGAAGCTTGTTTTCCTTGTTTATAAAGGAGAAACTTGATCACAGGGAAGTCTCTTGGATGATACAGTTTTTAGTAAATGTGAGAACTTTTGCCTAAACCAGCACCTTCATGAGCAAGACTTTCTACTCTATTGTTTAAGCGACAACTCTTTGTACTAAGAAAGCAACAGTATTTGGGAATTAGCAAGTAAAAGAACAAATGCAAAGAAAGGAAGGATATTTTCACTTCGTATTGAGAATTTAAATTGTACTTTACAAATAATTCAACAAGAAGTGTTTTCATACTGTTTTGCTAAAAATAAATATTAATATCTTAGTAAGATGGAAATTGCTTACACCATCAGCTATTAAATCTTCTCTAATAGAAAAATATGGATCTACATTTATTTTGATTAATTATTAAAGCAGTGCTTAACAAGCTGTTTCTGCAAAATGTATTATACTCTAATTTGACATACCAGTTGTAATGCAGAATGCCAGTCCTATCATCATTCTCCACTTACAAATATCCAGGAGGCAAATAAAAATCAATAGAAGTGTGTGTTTTGTTCAGTTGGTTTGTTTTGTTGGGGTTTTATTTCCTCTTGAAGATATGAATTTTAAGAAAACAAAAAGCAGACCACAATATGGCCCAGTCTATCATGTTTTGAAGACTTCTGTTCATTCTTATGGGTATTGACTGTAACTTTTAATTCTTAATACTGAATTATAAACAAATACAGGTAATGCTTGTCTCATTTTCCTGTA